AAGGGACTTGCTTCTCTCACGGACGCCTTCGCCAAGCACTGTGCGAGGCTGGAGCAGCAGGTGGACTCCCGCATCGGTGTCACGGAGCGCCGCCTCGACGCCCACGACGCCCGCATGGACTCCATGGCCCTGGAGATCAAGCATCTGCAGGTCCTGCTCGAGCTGGTCCGCACGGAGGAGCCCCCCTCCGTGGCCCCTTCGGCGCCTTCCATCGCAAGACGGACCCCACCATCCTGGTCGTCCGCGCTGCCGCCCTCGTCAGCCGCGAGGCTGTGTGTGAGGGCCTTGCAGAATGGCTGTCCGCCTCCAACTTCGAGCCCGACGCTTTGAAGGTCGAGGGAGAGCCTGCAGGCACGCGCTTCACGGTCAAGGTACATGGCGCACCTGGTTGGGCAGCAAGGATGGTCTCGCAAGCGCTCAGCAATGTCAAGCTCGCGGACGGCTCCTTCAGGCGCTTCTCTGCATTCTCTGCACAGAGGCAGAACGTGGAACCCCACGTCTCTGGCGACAGGAACCTGGCCCAAATCCGCAGGGAGCTTGACCTTAAGAAGATCAAGCGCAATCTCTCTCAGCAGTTCCCCGACAGAGCTTTTTTCGCAGACACAAGTACAGGCAACAATTCATGCCAGTGGAAAGCCTTCATCAAGCTCACGCCCCGTCAGAACGAGCCATTCCTCATCGAGTACGACTAGAAGGCCCTCGACTCCCTCGGCCTCCCGAAGGCCACCATCAAGTCCAACATCGAGCAGTTCTTCTCCCAGGTCGTTGAGGCTGAGGCGTGGTCTCTTTAGCACGCTGTTTCGTCTCCTGAAGCTGCCGACCGTGAAATCGGCCACCGGCCTAGGTCTTGTCTCGTGGAACGCCCGCGCGCTGTTCCACCATCGCCCAGAGACCCGAACCAGAAAGCTCAAGTACCTTGCCTCTCTCCTCCAGGGCTTCACTCTGGCGGTCGTGCAAGAATCCCATGGGGCCGTGGGCGACGCGACGGATTTCGCGCACATGTCAAACTCTGGTTTTGAGTTTCGGGCCTCGTTCGATGGCCCTCACAGCCGCCGCGGCGGCGTCATAGCGTTCTTCCTTCGGCAATCGGCAATCCTCGTGGTCTGGCGCAGGTACTTCGGTGTCCTCTGAGGTTCTTGTTCCTGGGCGGGTACTACTCACGGAGCTTGATTTAAGCCAGACCCCGAACGGCACCGAGCACGTCCTCATACAGCATTTCAGTATACACTACTTTGGGCTCTCTCGGGAGCAGCGGACCTTGGTATTCCAGTCAAATTCTCATCATCTAAGTATTTCCCAGAGGTTTCCAGATATATACTTTGTGGTCCTGGCGGGCGACTTCAATCTTGCTTCAGCGCCTCCGAGGCCTGCTATTCCCATTGAGTCTCTGGAGGCCCCTCTTGCTCTTGAAGAATAGCGTCGTCACCGTCGTTCCCCCTCGCACCCGATTCTCCAGAAGTTCCTGGATGTCTCTGTGGATGAGGACACACACGCTACAATGGCACGCACCAGCACACATCGAAGATATATAGGATCTTCCTTGGCGTCCTCAGCTGGGTCCTGACGCAGATGCACCTCTCCGCGCCTGTCAAGGACATGCCTGAAACGCTGGAGCAGCGTGGCATTTCTGACCACGTTCCGCTGCTGGTTGCCCTCCGCCATCGCCCTCCTCAGCCCTCCGACGCTCAGCCCATCCCGAAGGCCATCTTCCGCCACCCAGACTTTCGGAAATTGTTGGAGATGTTTTGGGAATCCTTGGGCCTCTCGACGACGATCCCCTCCGCGAGATTACGACTTTTCAAGGCGACGATGAAGGAAGCAGCCCGGCCCGGTACGCTCGAAAAGCCCTCTTCACGAATGAGCCGAAATCGATGTCGTCCCGTCTCCTCGTCCTTCGCTCAGTGGCCAGAGCTGCGCGACGACAGGATAGGGTTCTCGCTCGCCGACTGCTCAGATACGACCTGGCGCGAGAACATTGGCAAGTCGATCCTGACACGCAGGTGGTCTCTCTTGTGCACCTCGCTTCTTTTGCCGCCGCGTTGGGCGCCCTCCAAGTCGAAGGTGCGGAGGAGCAGATGCGCGACGCTCAGGGCGGCGTGCAGTCTCACGATCTGCGGGCGCAGGTTCGAGCACGTAAACGCATGCGCCGGTTGGCTGATTGTGGCAGGCTGCGGGCACCATTCGACCGTGCTGCCAAACTTGCGGGGCTCCGCGCGGGCGGAAACATTCTCACCTCCTCCTCCTCCTCCTCCTCCTCCATTTCGCGCAGGATCACCGAGCACTTAGTCCAGGTCTTTGAAGAGAAGCACAGCTACACTGCTGCTGCTGATGCCTATCTCGCCCGTCTCGCCAACGTCACCCCCCTCGTCGACATTCCTCCTCCTCGCCTTCACGATGTTCAAGCTTGTGTTGACAGACAACACACACACCCTGGTCCTGGCCCTGACGCTCTCCCATGCGCCGCGTGGCAAGCCCCCCCACATGGGCTACCTGGTCCTCTATGGCACGCTCTGGTGGCAACCTGAGGGTAATCAGATGCCTCTTGGATACAATGATACGCTGGGTAGAGTTGCGCCCAAAGGTGAGGGCCCCGACGATGCCCCGCGCGGAGTCAGTCGACACGTCTCCGATCTTCGCCACTTCGGCTGGAGGAAAACGGATAACAAGATTAGCGCGGGTGTTGCTTTCAAGCAGTTGAGCAAACAGTTAGCCGCGACAGTCAACGGGGTCGAGAGGGGGCTTGTTAGCACGAGGAACTTCGGCAATCACATAGTCGAGCTAGATGCTTACAGTCGATGCTATTCCGTGCAGATGACGGGTTTCGCAGCCATGCCTCCCCTTGTGGGATTTGATTTCAGTCAGGCCTTCTCCCAGTCTCGCGCATGACTGGATCATCCGTGTCTTCGATGCCATGCTCCTCCCGTGCCCGCTCAAGACCTTCGTGCGCTTCCTGCTCTCGGGCGCCTGCTGCTTCGGTGCGATTTCATCGGGAACTACCCTGCTGTTCTGCATCCTGTGCGGGATCATCCAAGGATGCCCGAGCTCAGGCTGTGTCTTCGCATTGGCGGCGGACCCCTTCATGGAACACTTCGACCGCTCCATGCGCAAAGAGAACCGCGGGGTGATGAGGGCCCGCGCGGATGATGTGGGGGCGGCCCTTCGTGACGCCGCCTTCCATGTCGACGTGCATAGAGCGTTCGCAGCGGCGGAGCGTGTGGCGGCCCTCAGACTCAAGATCCGCAAGTGCGAGGTTGTCCCGCTGAGCGACGCCTTCTCTGTCTCCCTCGCTGATGATTGTGCGGGTCGTGTCCAGCAGCTTGTTCCTGGATGGGCTGACGTTCTCATTGAACCTGTCCTCAAGTACCTGGGCATGTGGCTCGGGCCTGCCGCCCTTGAACACTCCTGGAGAGCACCGGTGAGCAAGTGGCGTTCGAGATCCTCTGAACTTGCCCTGACTGGCGCGCCCCTGCGTGTTGTTGCCTTTCCTTACACATCCCGATTCTCCTCTGTCCTCTCTTTCGTTGGTCAGTCCCCCCCTCCCGCTCGACCCCTCCCTACCTCGCGGCCGCCATGCTATCGATGCTGCATGGCGCACCCTGCTGCGAGCTCCCGCGCGACGGATGGTTTCAGCTTTCGCAGTGGGGCGGGCCCAATGATCCCCAGCCTCGCCGCCCTGAATGCCGCCCAGCAGATCCGAGCCGCGACATTGCACCTGCCTGTTTGGAAGTCCCTGATTCCCCTTCTCAGTGCTGCTGCCGAGGATGCCCTGTCCCTGCCTGACTTCGCGGCCCAGAAGTTGGTCCCGAGGCACTAGCTACAACCGCCGTTCGCCGAATTTCTTCAGAATGCTGTTCGGGGCTTTCCGCGATGTCTTGGCGTTGGGCTCATCACCTCTGTCCCCTCTTTCCGCTCTCGCATTTCTTCTGCACCTGCCGTTGCCATCGCCTTTGCTTCCATCTACCTCGAAGCAAATGCCCACAAACGCCGCCCCAAAGTGCAGGGCATCCTTTATCGTGAACTTGTCTCGGCTTTGTACGGTGACGCGCTGCACGTGACTTTCGAGTCCCGTCTGTGCTCGTGGCTCCGCATATCTGATCCTATTCGTGCTGCCATTCAATGGCTTCAGGCGAAGGAGGCGCTTCTTTCTATGCCTATCCCTGCCGCTTTTGCCGTCTTTCGTACCTGTATGGGAGCCTGGACGACAGCCAAGCGCGTTCAGCAGGTCGAACCATGCATGATTTGTGGTGCAGGTGATGATAGTCTCCAGCATGTGTGGTATTGTCCTGTTTTCTCAATCTTATCCCTCGTGGTTGTACCGGTCTCTTTGATCCTTCGCCGCAGTCACTTATTATCACAGCTGCGGCATCCACGCTTTACCATGTCTTGTGAGGCCTGAATCAAGGTGCCCCGATCCGCCGTGAGCGGGCAATTCAAGCCGTCCCCACTGAGATGGTAGCTGCGCCGTGCCTGGCGACGCTGAGGTGAACGGTGAATTCTCCCCGATGGCTACGTGCGAGGAGGAGGAGGAGGAGGAAGAAGAGGAGGAGGAGGAGGAGGAGGAGGGAGGAGGTGGGCGGAGGAGGAGGAGGAGGAGGAGGAGGAGGAGGAGGAGGAGGGAGAGGAGGAGGAGGAGGGCCGAGGACCAAGATGGGTGGCCTCCGATGAGGCACCTTGGGCAGGCCAGCGCCCGGTGCTTCGAGCATCTAATCCCGCCGCTTGCTCTTTGCCCAGGCTGGGGCGCAAGCAGATCAACAGCCTCATGCTCGCAGCCCTGGTCGCGGAGCTGCTGCTCGGCTGCTGCCAGCGGGGGGCTCGGTGACCTCTGGGGCTCTGGGGGGGGGTGAGGGGTGGGAGGAGGAGGAGGAGGAGGAGGAGGAGGAGGAGGAGGAGGAGGAGGAGGAGGAGGAGGGAGGAGGAGGAGGAGGAGGAGGAGGAGGAGGAGGAGGAGGAGGAGGAGGAGGAGGAGGAGGAGGAGGGGAGGAGGAGGAGGAGGAGGAGGAGGAGGAGGAGGAGGAGGAGGAGGAGGAGGAGGAGGAGGAGGAGGAGGAGGAGGAGGAGGGAGGAGGAGGAGGAGGAGGAGGAGGAGGAGGAGGAGGAGGAGGAGAGGAGGAGGAGGAGGAGGAGGAGGAGGAGGAGGAGGAGGAGGAGGAGGAGGAGGAGGAGGAGGAGGAGGAGGAGGAGGAGGGAGGAGGAGGAGGAGGAGGGAGGAGGAGGAGGAGGAGGAGGGAGGAGGAGGAGGAGGAGGAGGAGGAGGAGGAGGACGGGGGGGGGACGGGGGCGCCCCCTCCAGCGGGCGGCCCTGGCACTGGGGGGGGGGGCTCCCTGTTGTTTCACCTCCCTCGCCGGCTCCGCCCCCCTCCTCCTGCTGCTGCTGCTGCTGAAGGCTCCGGAGCCCCACAGGGACGCAGCCTGCCCCTCCTCCTCCTCCTCCTCCTTCTCGCCTCCTCCTCTGCCTCTTGTCCCCTCCTCATTCCCCTCTGCTCTCCTCTTCCTTCTGCTGCAGCCTGGATGCAGGCCTGGGCCGTTTCAGTGTTCTTGTGAAGAAGGATATAATGAGGATCGGAGAGAGGATGATATTATGAATAGGGCTGTGTAAGGATGGGTTTACCAATCGAGAAAGAGTGGACGAGGGACATACACAAGACAGAGCCTCGAGGATTGAGACGACAACTCGTCTGATTCATGTTGAACAGAGTCTCTCTGTTTCATTCGAATTTGCACTTGCTTATTATTGAGTATGGTTGCATTGTTGTTGCGTGTCCAGTGCAATGTATCAATCATTGCTTAATGTCGGGTGGATTCCGTATTGCGTGTTGCCGCAATGGTTTCCGGTGATGGCTTCCGGTGTTATTTGAGTGTTTTGTTCATGTTGGATTTGATGTCTGGTCGTGAGTCCTGCTGTGCTGTAGCAGAGCCCCCGAACCGCCTGACAAAGTATGACTTTCGGTTGCATTATAAAGCTTGCTCGCTGCCAAACAGACCAGGCAAACAGCCTCATGAAACGTCTCCCAAACATACAACCAAGACGATATGCCAGCTGGGAGCACCAGGCTAACATAACAAACCAGCCATGCACCAAACAATCCCACATTAATTCAAGTATCACACACGCGTATCCACGACGTCGTGGATGTCCACGTCATGTTAGGTAGCAACCGTCAAAGACAACCTTGAGTATGTGTCAGCAACTGAACAAGCAACCGTCGGACACGCGAATCGACGCATGGGATGTCGCAGCAGACCGATTCATATCGACAGTGCCTGTTCGCCGCTCCAGTGGCTGCCAACACACATCGAGGCCAAGCCGCCAGAGGAGAGCGACGCGGTATCGCACGAGTGGCCGAGGGCGCGTCAGCCTCGGATGCATCCCCTGCAGCGGAGTGGATCGGAGGGAGGGAGAGAGAGCGAGAGAGGAAGAGAGAGAAAGAGAGAGAGAGAGAGAGAGAGAAAGAGAGAGATAGGGAACTAACAACAATAAAGAGGGACGTATCTATACACATATAAATATACAACGAGGCAGAGAGACATCAAACATGATGTAACTACGGAATGAGATACATCGAATGAGAGAGAAAGAGTGAGAGCGAGTGAGAGAGAGAGAGAGAACGTCCCAGAGAGAGATTGCGGTATAGTGGTTCTTATATTTAAACCATGTATACGAGAGAGAAGGGGCCGATCCGTTATTCAGTGTCCCTGGGCGCGCTGCTGAAGGCGGTGAGGAGTGTTGTTGTTGGTGCAAGTGCTGCCCGGAGAGCCCGCATGGGTTGGGGGGGGCACGGGCAACTAGCAACGGAGGGCCCTTGGAGGGCCCCGTGGGCCCCGCAGGTGCCTTGATTCCTCTCAGGGATCCTCAGGGTTGCCCTGGTTTCCTCAGGGCTCCTCAGGGTTCCTCAGGGACCCTCAGGAATCCTCAGGACTCCTCTGGCTTCTTCGGGGCTCCTGAGGATTCCTCTGGATTCCGCAGGATGCCTCAGGGCCTCTCAGGGACTCCCATGGTTCTTCAGGGTTCAGCAGGATTTCTCAGGACTCCGGTTGTTTCCATCGAACCCTTTTGGATTCCCCAGGATCCCCTTCAAATCCACAAGGTTCTCAAGATTCCCTCGGATCCCTTGGGGTTCTTCAGGGTTCAGCAGGGTTCCTCTGGGCTCCTGAGGACTCCTTCGGGTTCCTCAGGGATCCTTCAGATTCCCTAGGTTTCCTCAAGATTCCTCCGGATTCCTTGGGATCCCAGAGGTCCTCAGGATTCCTGAGGATTCTTCCAGATTCGTACGGGAGCTACTCCTCAGGGTTCCTCAGGGTTGTCAGGGATCTTTAAGATTCCGCGGGATTTCTTTGGATTCCTCAGAGTGCGTCAGGGAATCTCAGGAGTCTTCGGCCCGTTCCAGGATTTCTCACGGTCCAGCAGGGTTATTCAAGATTCTTCTGGATTCCGCATGATTTATTCGGATTCTCGAGAATCCCAGGTATCCCTACACTTTCTGAGGGCTCCTCCGGGTTCCTCAGGGATCCTCAGGTTTCCTCTGTGTGCCTTAGAAATCCTTTAGGCTCCTCAGGGCTCCTCGGGATCTGTCCGGATTCAGCCGGGTTTTTCGGGGGTCCTCAGCCTTGGCATCGCTCGGACGTGTGCATTTCTGTTCCGGCGAGGATCATCCTGGAAGCATGCACGGAGAATTGACGTTCGTGCGCGTGTGCGCGAGCGTCCGCGTTCGTGCGTGCGTGCGCGCGTTCGTGCGCGTGCGCGCGCAAGCTCGGGTGCGAACGCGAGCCCGAGCGCGAGCCCGACCCCGACCCCAAGCCCGAGCCCGAGCGCGAGCCTGAGACCGAACCTGAGCCCGAGCCCCATCCTGAGCGCGCGCATGTGCGTGCGCACGCGCTTCCGATATGATAATACGCACCAGCAGATTCACTACCAGCAATATCCACTTGATTGTAGGACTAAGGGTGAAGACATGCGCTTGTGACGCTACAGAAGCTACTGAGCTACTGCGCTGAACGTCTCAGGTTTCAGAGTCTGGCGACGGGGAAATCTGCACCCTGATGGAAATGATGAGTTGGAAACAGACGGCGACGCCGTGGAGGGGGACGGAAACGAAGCTAAGGAGGATGACGAGAGGACGGGAAGCGAACGAGGATGATGAGACGCGTTGGCGATCAGGTCCCGCTCGGGTCTGGGTGAGCAGCAGAGCGGCCACAGCCTCGCTTCTGGCAGCACCCAGGGAGGGCGAGGAGTACATGTTGGTCTGCCTACGGCGCCACTCCGCTGGCCCCCCGGTTGGGCCGCCGCACAGGGGCGACAGTTGTGCGTCTGGAGGTAGGAAAAGGGGTACGGTATTAAAGGGGTGTGGTGCTAAGTTCGTGTCAAGGGGAATATGGCGCTGTTATGTATCGCAGATCGCATCGCCACTTCCACGATTGGCACCATACCCCTTTATGCCACACCCCTTTCCGACCTCCAGAGTGCGCTGGGCAGCATCCGCGGAGGGCGGTGCCCAGCTCGGGGAGAGCGGAGAGAGAGAAGAGTCGACCAGCAGCCCCGAGGCTCGCCACGCGCGCAAAAGCGGGCCCGGACGCTGGCTCTGCTAGGCCGCGAGGCCACTGCCACCAAGATTTGGTTGTTATTTATATTGGGGAGGCCTGGCGGCCGGTGCCGTCGACACAGATCGACGACGACGACGACGAAGGTGAGGGAGGAGGAGAAGCAGGAGGACAAGCAGGATGAGCAGAAGGAAGGGCAGAAGGAGCACGATGAGCAGAAGGATGAGCGAGGGTGGGCAGCAGCAGGAGGACGCTGGGGACGAGCAGGAGGAGGAATGATCAATTGGAGGAGGCTCCGGAGGAGAGGCAGGAGGAGTGGTAGGAGGAGGAGGGGCAGGATGCGGCGAGGACGACGACGCTGACGTGGGTCTCTTGGGAGCGCTCTCGGGAACCTCTGGGGAGCAGTTTGGGGGCCTTTTGGGGCTTCCTGGGGGCTTCTTGGAAGCTTCGTGGGGCCTCTTGGGGCCGCTTGAGCGCTCTTGGGGCCTCTTGGAGGCCTCTTGGGGCTTCCTGGGGGCCTCATGTGGTGGAAGTCTAGACTTCTCGGTTCCTCGTCCCCCTCTGGGCACTCTCTTGGGCCCGTCTCGGGGCCCTCTTGGGCCGTCTTCGGCGTCTCTTGGGCCGGTCTCCGTCCTGCTTGGGCCGTCTTGGAGCTCTCTTGGAGGCATCTTGGGCTGTCTTGGGGCGCTCTTGGGGGCCTCTTGGGCCGTCTTGGACCGTCGGAAAGCCGAAACGGCGAGAAGGCTGACATCATTCAAAAACGAAGGCAGAACGAACGATTTGGGCTCCTGGGGCCCTCTTGGGAGTACTCTTGGCGCTCTCCTGGAGCTTCCTGGGGGCCTCTTGGGCCGTTTCCGAGCAGCCTGGAACGCCTTGGGGCGGGTCGTTCGTCGATGCGTGGCGCTCTTGCACCGCCCTGGGGACGTCTTGGGGCGCTCTGGGCCCGTCGTGGGGCTCTCTTCCTGGCCCTGCCACCCCCCCGGGGAGGAAAACGAATCTGGGTGGCGACGCCCCCCCAGGGACCCCCCCAGGGACCCCCCCAGGGACGATCGAGACATCTTCAAGATCTGGCCCACCTGGGGGGTGAAAACGAGCGCCTTGCTCGAGACATCCTCCAGATCTGCTCCGACAGCGAAGGATGCTGGGACAGAACATCGGCAAACCGCTTGAGACATCCCCACAAAACGGCCGCAGGACCCCCCCGGGACCCCCCCGGGACCCCACCTTCCCCGCGCGGGGAAGGGATCAAAGGGAAGGGGCCTCCCTTCGACTGAACTGCGACGTTGTCCGATTTCGCTGTGGGGGCGCTCCCAGACCCCAGACCCCCGTCGAATCATGACAGAATTCGAGGGCGGCAAAGAGCGGGGTGATGACTAGGGGGGTGGATATCATGGCGGGGGCCATGATATTTCCCCAGATTTCATGGCGCCTCTTCTTATTTCATTACGTCCCTGGCCCCCCCGCTGGGCCGTCCACATGCCGCCGGTTATGATTTGCACCCCCCCCTCTTGGACCCCCCCTCTTGGCCGCTCCCGAAGAATCCTGATCAGGAAGGTTTTGCGGCATTTTCGGCCTCTGGGGGGCCTCAGCGGCCCTCGTGACCAGCAACAAATTACTCAGGAGGACAAGCTGGTCCCGGGGAAGGGGTGCAGGCCTTTGGGGGTCGCGTCATGAAAAGATCATGATGTCGGGGGTCTGGGAAGGGCTTTGCCTTCAAGGTTCGAAGGAGCTGTCGTCTCTTCCGCCGGAAGGCGGCGGAAGTAGAACGAGGCCGCCTCCGCCAGCGGAAGCCCGCGCAAGGGCGGCGGAAGGTGGCGGAAGTAAGAGATGCGCCCCCAAGAGATGAACATGTTTTTGGGTTCAGGGTTTCCGGACTGCGCCACGTGTCCGTACTCACCGCTGCAGAGTTGTCGGGATCTCGCGGAGTGGTGGACATGGATATGTGCCCGCTCGCATCGGCGGGCAGATCGTCCACAGCGGCCGGCCCCGCGGCAGTGGACGCGGACATCTTCTGGCGGCGCAAGTGGGTCTTGAGGGGAACGGGCCCTGAGGTTTCCGGCCGTGTTCCGGCTCACCGGGTCAGGAGGTGAACACATGTCGACCACGCGTAAGATCTAATCTTAAGTCGGGCCTTTCCCCCTGCAGGGGGATTTTCGACGAAAAATACAGAATACCCACAAAATAGTAAAAAAATACTCCCAAAATAGTCTGGGGACTATTTTTCGAGTATTTTTTTTCCTTTTTGGGGTATTTTTTGGTATGTTTGATTTATCTTCGAAAATCCTCCTGTATGGGGGACACGCCCGACTTACATCTAATGAGTCCCTTCGCCGGATGGACCCTTGGTGCTACTACACCCGCGCCCCCCCCGGCCGCGCACCAGGGCCCCCTTGTTGCCCATGTAGGGCCACTCCTGCGCGTACACTCGATTCGGGGGAACGCAAGACCCGGGTTTGCCAGGACTCGGGTTCGCCATCGTTTTTTGACGACCGCGCCTCGGATTTTGACGAGGAGGAGTTTCGTGGGATGTCTGCAGCGGGAGGCCTCGTCAAAATGCAGGCTCGGCCTCGTCATTTTTTTGACGACCTCGTCGGGGATTTCCGAGTCCCCCGTACCCGGGTCTTACGTCTCCCCGATCGATACCCACGGCTCCAGGAGAGAGACCCAGAGATCCAATGCATTGGAGAAAGCAAGGCGGAGCTTTTGCTCGCAAATTTCGGCCTCGAGGGGCCCTCGCCGAGCCCCGGGACCGTCAAAAAACGACTCGGGATGAAAAACCGGTCCCGGGAATTGGGTCAAGACTTCGGGGGGCCGCGCATGGAAAATATCACGACATCGGATCTCTGGGTTTCCGTCACTGGGCAATCGCCCCCGCGCTCCTGGCGGAATGCGTGCGCCCTGCCCGGCTGCGGCGGGGGCCAGCGCGCCGCTGGCGCGGCTGCCCCACCACCACCGGCCGCCCCGGGGGCTGCGCGGGCCCCGGCTTGCGCTGCGGGCGCGCGCGTGGGCGCGCGCCCCCTCCTCGCTCCTCGCGCCCCCCTCCGCCCCCCCCCTCCTCCCCCCCTCCTCCCCTCCTCCGCCCCTCATCCCCCCCCTCCTCCCCCCCTCCTCCCCTCGCCTCCACCTCGCGCCCCGCCCGCGCCCTCCGTTGTGTCGCCTCCTCGTCCGTCGTTCCCCCTGACCCCCTTTGCCACTGGGCTTCTTTCGCAGAGGTAAAAATCGGGGGGGCGTAAGACCCGGGTTTGCCAGGACTCGGGTTCGCCATCGTTTTTTGACGACCGCGACTCGGAGTTTGACGAGGAGGAGTGTCGTGGGATGTCTGCAGCGGGAGGCCTCGTCAAAATGCAGGCTCGGCCTCGTCATTTCTTTGACGACCTCGCCGGGCTAACCCGAGTCCCCCGTACCCTCCTCCCCCCCTCCGCCCCTCCTCCCCCCCTCCTCCCCCCCTCCTCCCCTCCTCCCCGCGCCCCCCCGCGCCCTCCGTTTGCTCGCCTCCTCTCCGTCGTTCCCCCTGATGACCCCCCTTTGCCACTATGGGCCTCTTTCGCAGAGGAGAGGAGAGGAGGAGGAGGGAGAGGAGGAGGATGAGGAGGAGGGGGAAGGAGCAGGAGGAGGAGAGGAGGAGGAGGAGGAGAGGAGGAGGAGGGAGGAGGAGAGAGGAAGAGGAGGAGGAGGAGGAGGAGGAGGAGGAGGGGGGCGCGAGGCGCCCTGGTCGGCCGCACGGCGGCGGGGGAGGGGTTCCGCGCGGCGCCCGAGGCCCCGCGCGCTGGCGGGGCTGCTGTGCGCGGCGCTGCGCGGGACGCGCGCGCGCACGCGCGCGGGGGCGCCGGGGGCCGACCTCTCTCCTCCTCCTCCTCCTCCTCCCTCCTCCTTCCTCCTCCTCCTCATCCTCCTCCTCCTCCTCCTCCTCCTCCTCCTCCTCCTCCTCCTCCTCCTCCCTCCTCCTCCTCCTCCTCCTCCTCCTCCTCCTCCTCCTCCATTCCTTCCTCCTCCTCCATTCCTCCTCCTCCTCCTCCTCCTCCTCCCCCCTCCTCCTCCTCCCCCTCCTCCTCCTCCTCATCCTCCTCCATTCGGGCCGGGCGAGAGGGGGGGATTGGGAAAGGGGGGGGTTACGAAATGCGCTGCATGCAGCTGGTTTCGGCCTCACCGAGGGGCCCATTCCTCGATACATACCTGCCTCCGGCGCCGGGAGGCGCCGGGAAACTCGGCTACGTGAGCTGATTCTCAAACCCCCCTTTGCTATCCCCCCCCTTTCGCCCGACCCGAGCATCCGCCGCTTCCTCGCGGGCGGCTCTTCCTGGGCGGCGGGGTGGCATGTCTCCGCCCGCCGGATGTAGTCTTGCCGCACCCAGACCCCCTCGCGTTGGTTGAGAAAAGCACGACGGGAGGTTTTCGTACATTGTCGGCTCTCGGGGGCCCTTGCCGGGCATCGGGGCCGCCAACAAAACGACTCGGGATGAAGAGATGGTCCCGGGGAAGGGGTCCAGACCTTTGGGGGTCGACGGTGTGAACAACATCACGACGTCGGGGGTCTGGGCAGAGGAGGAGGAGGTACCGTTGCCGCTTCCCTTCCCCGTCTTCCCCTCTTTTGGGGCCTTCTTGGAGGCCCTCGTTGCCTCGAGAGCCTTGCCAGAGCGCGCCCCGGGAGAGGTCCAGGGAGCAGCGATGTCGGTCTTTGTTGGCTTCCTCAGTGCCCTCCTCGTCTTCCTCGACCACCCGACAGGTAGGGATCGTTAGATCTTAAGAACAAGCCTCCCGACCCGCCCACCCTGCATACCGCGGCCACTAGATTCTCACCAAGAGTTCCCGATACATTTTGCCCTTCCAGGCCTGACCCGCCCACTCTGCGTACCGCGGCCGCCAGAGCCCCAGGTCCACGGAGGATCCCCGAGACGCCCGCTCCCGTGCTCACAACAGAAAGCAGAGCTAGCAGCACAGAGCATAACAGAACACAGCTTGACAGAAGTGTGCCTTGTGACTGGACGTAGTATGATGTACCAGAGCAGGGCAGAACACAGCATCGAATATCAGGACATCACGTTTCATCACACATCATGATATGACAGAGCGGAGCATACGGACCACAGCATAATATCACACAGCGTAACGCAATAGTACAGCTCATACCATACACATCACAGAACATGCCAGAATACAGCGATGCAGGCTATACCACCACACAACATATCGTCACGCACTAGAGCAGACTAAGACATGGCAAGTCATACAATGGCAGAACGCTGCATACAATGCAATGGCCGGGCAGGACGGAATGTATCATAACCTATCATACCATAGCACAGCGTGACAGGTCAGAGCATAGCAAAGCACATCAGTGGTAACAACATAACCTATCAGAGTATTTCATGGCCCAGTCATGCGTATTAGGCTACACCGCGTCATGTCCTAATCGGATCGGGAAGAACTGTTGTACTAGTGGTTCCACGACGACAGCGGCTTTAATCAAAACTCATCGGCTGCTATGTAGTGAAGAGGAGCACTATGACATAGCATCACATCACGTAGTATAACAGTCCAATGAACAGTGCACCACGTAGCCAATACAACATAACATAATGGTTTACAAGTGCTACTACTGTGACTCATATATGGAAAGGTGTGCCATACCCTGAACAGGGCATACCCCATCACAATGAACACCATAGAGCGTAATCATCATACCTTTACATATCGTAGTTTTAGAGCACAGCATAACGTCACACATCTCATTGTCGCGTAGCTGAGCCAAACATGGTATCCATTAACAGAATACAGCGGTCGCCACTGAATAGGAGCATCATCGCATAACCGATCGCTCCAGAACACAATAAAGCGCGACGTTTGCGCCGAGGTCAGGAACGCCACAGGAACAAGCAGGCGCAGCAACGACCGATTGGACGACGTACCTGACGTGACACGCGTCACGACGTCACGCCCGCCCGTTGAGAACACGACAGAACATACAACAGTATAACATGATACAACATGATAGTTTCACCCTGTTGATACAGTTACGACGCATTCGTCATATCCTGTTAAACGAAGCATCCACGCCGACGCAAGGCTGGCCACAGGACAAACGCCAGCCGCAGCCACGATCGATTCGACGACATATCAAACGTGACAGGCGTCACGACGTCACGCCGCCGTCGAGAGAAGAACACAACATAGCACAACATAATGTAAATTACTACGCTGGGGCCGAATCCAGGTGAACAGCACATGACATAACGTCTATACAGCAGCCACTAACGCTCGACGTCCCATCAAACGAACACCATTACGTAACCGACTGCACCATAACATAATCAAGCGCGACGTGCGCGCTGAGGTCGTGTTGGCAACAGGAGCAAGCACGACCGCCGAGACGACGCATTTAACGTGACAGGCGTCACGACGTGAAGCTGGCCCGCCGAGAGCACAACATCACATGATACAGTATCACATACTGGGATACGACGGAATAGAAGTTCAGCGCCCTTACAAACAGCATATTCCAATCAGTCAATAGTGGCGCCCTGTCGAACGCAGCATCCACGCCGACGTAAGGCTGGCCGCAGGTTAAATGCAGGCGCAGCAACGATCGATTTGATGTCGCGCCGCTCTGTCGAGAGCAGAACAGAACAAACCATATGTGCATAGAGTAGGACAGAACCGAACATAACGTGATAGAGTCAAATGCAGCAGCGACTGAAAAATGGCGTTGAATCAAACGCGACATGTGCGCCGAGCTCAGGCTGGCCACATGAAACAAAGAGTACCCGACTCGGATATTAATCTCGAAGGCTTCGGTCGGGATCGCTCGAAGCATTACATGTAACCTCCCAAGCAATGCTTGTACTTGAAGGTTCTCGCTGGTCTCCCTGAGGAATTTGCTGGGTCCGGCGAGGATTTTCTATGTGGCCTCTCGTGGCTGTTTCGTGCACGGTTTTGCCCCGTTGCCGCATCGTTGCCGCCTCGTGCGCCGGGTGTGTCCAGCGTGGCCACCCGTTGCCACCTTTGTGCTGCCTCGGGTGCTGGGTGGGTCCGGCGAGGTTTCGCCGAGGCGACGTTGCGGCCAGTTGCGGCCTCGTTGCCACCTCGTGCGGTGGGTGGGTCTGGCGAGGTGTCGCCATGTTGCCGCCCGTTGCCGCCTTTAGCTTGCACCGTGTATAAACCCCCCACCCCCGGGTTCACGGTCCACCTGGTCGCGTTGCAATTTACATATGATTCTGCTCCATCTTCCATCCCAAATCTGAATTCATATCATGAAAGCCAGGCTGGAGTTCAACGCCGTCCTCATCTTCTTGCAAAAAAACACTATGCGCGCACACTCGTCTATAACAAATACGCGTTTTTTCAATCCATTGCGAAAACAAGGACGAGTTGCACACGCGCTCGTCGTCGCGCGCCCATGCCGACATGATTCAAGCACCTAAGCTTTTTCAAGGATTTCAAAATCGAGAGTCACGAAAACATGTAGAACAACATGGTTTCGCAACACGTGTTTTCAAAAAGCGCTTGCGCCCGCGCATTTGCGAACTTTTAGAAAGCCATAGGTGTTTTGTTTCAACATGTTCAGAACATCCTACCAGACGGGGCTCTCGCGGGCGCATGTCGAAATCGCTCGAACGCCCTTGCGCGCGTGTTGTCGCAATAATCCTTTGCAGCAGATGGGACGAAGTGCACACGTGCGCGTCGTCGCGCACGCATGCAAAAGTCTTTCAAACATATCCAGTTTCGTAAGGATTTCAGTAACGAGTGTCCCGAACACACATCAAATACATAGTTTTGCAGCATCAGTTTTAAAATAAATCCTGCGTTCGCAGTCGTGCGAATTCTTAACAGAACCATCGTTTTCAACATGTCCATCAATTTCTGCCAAGCGGGCCTCTCGCGCCGCATGTCGAACTCATTCGAACGCCCTTGCGCGCGTGCTGGGGTGGCGGTCGCGATCCTTGTCAAATAATACCACGCGGGCCCCTCGCGCGCGTCGGCCGCGTGCGCAAATCGAACCCGTTCAAAAACTTTCATCGCCGATTCGAGGACATCGTCATCTTCATCAGCGGGCGTGGTCAACATTGGCGCCGTCATTGACCTTGCCGTCGTCATCGCCACCATTGTCACCCTCATGGCTACTCTCATAAACGTGTCTATCTCTGTCGGCGTCGCCATGATACCACGCCCGCCCAAGTCACCGACTCGCATTGAAGTGCCCGCTGGGAAGTGCCCAGCGGTCAGCGCCACCGCGGCCGCGTCGGTCGCGCCAAACTAGCTGGCCGCTGTGCGCGCGAGCGTGCGCGGGCTAGCGCGGCCGCAGAGATGCGCCAGCCAACGCCAAGCACCCATCGCAACCGCCGCATGGGTCTTGCAAACCAAGTTGCGGGTGGGTGGGTGGGATGTCTGCAGGGGCATGGAATGTGTCAAACCATTTGTAAAACATCAGCTGCACCACGTAGCTTGCACCACATAGCTTGCACATCCACCGTGCAATAACTTATTGTTGTGGGCCCACGCTGGTTCGTATCTTCTTGTCTGTGGGCCCACCCCTCCGCCGCGGACGCAGCTCGAAGGCTATCTTGCTTCATAGGAAGCACTGCCATACCCAGTGTTGGCTCCGGGGTGGTTGGAGGCGTCCGGAGGCTTGGCCAGGTTTGACCTGGGGCGGCTTGTCGGCTGGTTGGGGGTCTGGACCCTCCAAGACAAGCCATTTCAGAGCCCCCCAGTGGGAGAACCCTCCAAAACATCGTCCCCAGACCCCCCCAGGCCCTCCAAGATAGCCTGGAAGAGACCCCCCCCCCGAAATGAGACCCCCCTCCCTT